TCCATACCTGCTTTCTTGCTAGCAGGTTGATTCGGTATTCCAGAGTTTTATGGGGTCATGGATGATTGAGGAGTCAAGAACAGCTCACAGAGGCTGCCTCTGTAATGGGTGAATTTCGGGGGGAGGGAGGGCAGGGAGCAAAAAACCTACACCACAAAAAACCAACCAACCCCAAAAAATCTGTGACTGGGAGAACTGCGTACTTGCAGTAATGTTAAATTCAGTAATGTCAGCATCATCCTTATCCTCTCCATTACCAATTTTGACAATGACAGCCTTTTCTGCACAGCTTTAACTGGTGTGAAATAAACTGCTGTTTTCCACCTGTTGTTTACCAGCTGGTTTTCAACTTATGTAGGCAGATTATGCAGATACTGTATGTGCCTTTCAGATGTTTATGATATGTTTTGGTCTACCATTGAATTATATTCAAACGTAAGACCTTAAGTTGTGGCATGGTCTCTTGACTAGGTAACATGGGTATTTTGCATTTTATATTTATGCTTATATATTCTCCCTCAGGAATTCTGGAAGATTCTCTTGGGTATGGGAGAATTCTTTTCAAAGAAATGCGAATGCTCCCAAGGATTAAGATATAGAAGTGCAGTTCAGTGACAAGTTACTTAGAAACTCAGGTAGCAGTATATTAAAAATGGAATTGGTAAATAATTTTCTGCTGTAGTTCTGACAAAGGCACAAGTGACCTGTGAGATTACAGTCACTGGAGCCAAAGATCAGTTTTCTTCTGCAGTAGGAAAACAGTTTGCAAAGAAAGAAGTGTTTCAGTATGAATTTATATTTGATCATGTTCAGTGAAGTTGCTCAAGTAATTGTTCAACTAAAAAAAACCCAAACAAAAACCCCGAATCAAAACAAAAAAAAAAACCTACAGGCATTGTGGTAAGAATAGACATATTATCCTGGCTTCTTTAGGAGAGCATTCTGTAGAACATCAGTTACTTAATTATGTTTTAGGTTAAATAATCACTGTTGTGATAGGTGTTCAGCTCCCTGAAAAATGCATACCAGGGTGAAAAGCTTTGAACATAGTGATATCTTTGCCTTCTACAGTAATATTTGGACTTGGACTCTGCAAAACATGTGAGCATGTATATGTAATCTTTACACAAGTTCTACTGATTGCAGAAGCCTTTCACCCCAAATACAGATTTCTTCATAGGGCTGGGCCCCTTTGTGCTGCAAGGTCAGTTTGCATACGCTGACCATGGCGTACTGCACCAAGTGTGTTATGACATAATATAGATGCTAAAACTTTGGTTTTACTGCCTTGAATAAAATGTTAAACATGACCCATGTCTTTATTTTTTATTTTTGTAGAAGAATCTGTTAAAGCAAGCAACGGAGATCCTTCCAACTCTACACCTGCAGATCCTGTTGTGAAATGATATGGCTGGTATGGGTGATGATTACTTACTCAAATAATTCATGTTATTGTCGTTTTCAGTAACACTCTGTAGGGGTAAAAGCTCTAGATTTGATTTACTTGCTCTATTAAACTCAAGAGACAATGTACAGTAGTATACTAGCATCCAGTGAGGCTGGGTCTGTGTCTATATTTCCTGTAGAAACTCCTATTTTTCAGGAGTTTATATTATTTACAGCACTTTTAGATTGAAAATAATTATATAAAATGTTGACCTTGGAAGTAGTTATTTTAAAGTACAGATGTGCAGATAAAAAACCTTACTAATTTTTAGATGCATTCTTGCATCTCTAAGATAGCATTAAAAAAAAAAAGTCATAGGCCATTGGTCTAAGGTCTGAACTGGTGCATCTCTTCAACCAGGAAAAAAAAAAAATTGAATCAAGATACTGTGTGTATCTGTCGTCTAAGAAACAATTCAGATGTTTTTATGCAGTCCTGTTGTGTTTAATGCAGCCACAGATTACACTGTAGGTGTAACAGTGTATGTTGTGAATGTATGTTAAAGCTATTACACAAAATGGAAATCCTAATTAATGTTTCATTCCACAAACCCTTATTAATACTATAGATAGTATTTGTACTGTGGGAACTTAGGATCCTGTCAGGCATTTATTTTCCCTTACTGTTTTTTTTTCCCTAAATCAGAGAATAGGAAAACCAGAAAAGTTAACATAATAAATTACTTCTCATTTCATACCGAAGGTCTGATTTGCATCTACAGAAGTAAGGAAACCCAGAGCCAAGACAGAACCACAATCAGCTCTTCCTTTTATGACCAGACACTGTGTGATGGGTGTCTGTAACTATTAAGTGATCTTACACTTCATGAATATGTTGTGCCTAATTGCAAGTTTCAGCCTCAATTCTGTATTTCCTAGCCTTTGTAGGTCTGTTGTACCGTCTGTGTTGTTCATACAGTCTTACATGCCTGATTATTAACAATAATTGCACTGCAGGCTTCAGAAGCTGCTGAACACTGTGAGAACTGTATAAATACAACATCTGTTAATGCCTGCAAGTAGAGGTTCTAGACTGTGCAACAGTTACTCAGATTCCTAACTTAAGTAAGTAGCTAGACTTAGCTTAAAAGTAAACACCACTTTCATTAAAAGATACAGTTGTGTTTTAATATCCCAGAACGTAAAACACTTCTAGGTCTTACTAACTAGAATAAATTACTCTAGTCAGTCCAACTAGAATTACTTTTTTGGGTTGGTTTTCTTTTTTTTTTTTTTTGCACTTGTAACAGTATTTTTAGACCATACTTGCCAGCTTCTTTCATCTCTTCTAATTACAAAAAAAGTAATGTTTTAATGGTTCAAATTGTTCCACCCACCCTTGGGTCACTGCTTAAGACAATTCCTGATGTACCTCTGATTTGCCCTTTCCTGCCATCACTTCCACATTCAGAAAGCTAGGAAAAATGTTTTGTTGCAACTGGACAGACTGGACTGATATGAAAGTCCTTTCATTGGTTCTGAAAACATGACACAGAAGCTTCATGGACTGTTTAAATCAGCTGGGCTCATAAAAGTTTTTATTTTTAATTCATTGTAACTGCAGAGACTGCCCTAAAGAATGCTGCATTACTTGATTTATATTTTTGCCTTTTTTTATTTTGATACAGGTATTATTTTCGTAACTTGTGTACACTTTCTTTTTTGACCAAATTGTACCCGCACTGAATGCTCAGTAGCACTGCTGAGATCAGCACTCTTGCTGCTGCTGCTCATTTCCGTACTGTTGCAATTGCAGTGTATACATATTTCATATTCCTATCTCATCGGAAGTCACATAAGTTTTTGGCTTGGAATGGCCAAGCGCTGCATTCCCTTCTTCCGCAGCAACTGCAGGAAGGCAGGGTTCATTTCCCCCAGGATGGAGCTGCTAGGTAGCTATGGACAGTCAAGACATTACCTGCGCCCTGATAAAATCTGCACTTGTATTTTTTTGGGAAGACACTATCTCAAATAGGTCATACTTTGTGGTTGAATATAAATTGAACTGTGCATTTTCTGAATGTATGGTGGTTAACATTCATGTGGTTCTGGCAATGGAAATTCTACAGGAAAGACGTAAGCCTATTTTTATAGAACCCTGTTTAATCTGGGAGACCTGAATGTATACTTATGTGGCAAAAATATATGCATACATGCAAATATGTACAGTGATAATAGAGCTATTCTTGCTAATACTGGATTGTAGTTTGTATTTCCCTCTCTCTTTTTGTCATGTAGCAGCATATACATGCAGAAAGCTTCTCTCATCTATCTGAAAGACAAGGTGGGTCCTGGATTTGGATGTCACATGCTCCTGTGTGTCAGTGAGAGTCACATTAAATCCTTTTTTCCCCCACAAGGATCTGAGAAGGGTGCAAAATTCTTGCTGTGGTGCTACTACTCTTTTCATTGCTTTTGCCCTCCTGTGCCCATTGTAGGAACAAAATGGGCCCTAACTGATTGGAGGTGACATGATGGAACTAAAACAAAACCCTCCCCCAAACTAAACCGAGCGTGCTCACTCAATACTCACAGAGGTGATAAAAGGAAAGTGAGGATGATGAGTTTGCTGCAGGGATGGAAAACAGATCTCTAGGTTTTTTCCTTCATGTCAGGGGCAGCACAGGCTGAAGGCCTGTCTCTCCCCCCGAGAAGGCAGGTGCCACCACCTCCCTCTGCATTCGGCCTTGCGACAAGGCTGTTGCACGTAGAAGTGGCAGCAGCACCTCTTCCAGCCCAGTTCTGCTGCAGTGCTGCGCCCCGTTGTGCCCTTCCTCCCGGCAGCGCGGGGGTGAGGGGGAGCAGGGCGCGGCGCCCGCCCCGCTCGCTCTCAGCCCCAGGGTCAGGAGGTGTTCGCGCTGAGCGGTGGGAAGCGATGGCTGCAGCCGCACCCAGCTGGCGTTCGCTTCACTGGGAGGTGAACTGCTGCTGCTGAAGGGTGGATTCTGGAGGTCCTAATGTGTAAGGTCCAGAAGTAAATTTGAGTTTTCATCGGATGTCCATCAACAACAGCTGTTTTCAGCTTCTCAGGTACAAAGGACCAAATGTAACACTTAACGTTTCCTAGCTCATTGTACAAAAGGGTGTTTTGTTACCTCAGTCTCTTTGGTTTGTGAGTAGAGAACATGATGTACATAAAACTGTGTTAATAAATGTCACTTTGAGAACCTCATTCTTAGTGTCTTCAGTAACATCAGCTCAGTAGGTTTTAACTTTTTTAATAAGACAGCTTCAGCTTTTATTTATGAGGAAGTGTTTGTGTTAGTAACTAACAGTTCTCTTCCATGGTCCTTTTAGACAGTCAACAGCCAGCTAAACTGAATTTATTCCATGTCAAATGCTTGCAAACTGGGATCTTTCAGATGCTGAAGCACAGGTTCTGCTTACAGAAAATCTAGTTGCCTAGTAAGTGCTTGAGAAGAGTTAAATTAAATTTGAGGAAATTCGGCCATTTGTTCCAGTTATCTTGATTAATACAAACTATGCCACAGATTACACCCCCCAATAACTATGGTTTATTTTGTTTATTTTCATTTGTTCTTGCAAAGTACAGTTGCTCATGTTTTCAGGTTAAACTGGAAGGGGAAAAAAACCTAAATTCAGTAGCCAAATATATCTAGTGTCTAATTTTAGGAATGTACTATGAGACTAGTCAACACATTGCAGACTTACAATCTATCATTTTATTGCTCAGTTTTTTAAACCCAAAGATTGCTGGTAGACTCAGCTGTTGCATGTCACCATATGTTAAAAATACAAAGAATTCGTATTATGAAAGTACTTATTCGTCCTACAACTATCATCTCTGGCAACTTAACTTTTAAGAAACCTAACTGTAGAAAAACTGCACACAACTAACACGCCACATTCGTTTGACTACTACTGATGTTTGCATGTCAGTGGTATTTAGGATAATAAATCAAGGAGGTACATTATGCCCATTATTTAATTGCAGAATGTGTGAGTGCGGTCCCCATGAAGGTAAGAGTAGGCACTTAGATTTGTTTTGTAAGCTTATTCTAGATGCAATATAAAAATAGATTATATTAATAGGAAAAATTTAGTGTTTAACAAATTGTTTTGTAAATAGGCTAGCACAAAAGATAAATCTCATTACACTTAGGCTAGACTAAAAATAACTTCATCTGAAAATAAAGTAAATAGTGCATTTTTAACCTTCATTCAGATAATCATGCAAACTATGAAAATTGACTATGGTAGGCAATTGGAGGCCTGGTATTTGTTAAAGGAGCTGACAGCTTACACCTTGCACTAATTTCAGCAGAACTGTAGGCTGTTCACCATGGAAATCTGAAGAAATGACATTAACCCTTTGTGGTTGGCAGCTGTGCTGTCCTACCTACTGGCAGCAAGGGGCTAACGCTGAACCATTCCTGAAGATTGTCAGCTTCCCAGACACACCTAGACACTACACATTCACAAACGCAAAAAGCCTCAAAGGCCAAGTGCTGCTGCTGTTCCATTGTAAATCCAGAGAAAACTCCACTGCAGCGAGGCTGCGCTCTCTCTAGCGGGAAGATGGAAGCCGGCCTTGTGTGTGCGCAGACGACTGAAAACCAGAGATTCTTGCAAAACGACTCCCTGCTCTTCCTGCTTCTGCAGGGGCTGCAGGAAACAACCAGAGGTTTTTTTATGCTTCTGACTCCTCCCCTTCTTCATGTACAGTTCCATCCTCTTCTGCCTGATCATTCAGAAGCATGAACTTTCCATCATTTGTTAACGGCACAGACTTCATTAGCTGAGCTAATGCTTCTGGGTCCTGAAGAAAAACAAACAAAGAGTTGACCAGGCTGCAGCAATCTCTGAGGTGCAGAGTTTTCTCAGTACTTCTTGTTAAGACTTTGCAACTTTTTTTTTTTCTAATGACAACCTTTAGTCTAAAGGTTTGAAACATAACTAATCCCTTTTCGTTCAGTAAAACCACCCCTTGGGTGGTGTAGGCATTCATTTTGAACCTTTATTTTGCTGTTCTTATCTGGCATTGCTCTAATTACTGGAAAACAAGGGGAAAAACTGTCTAAATAAAGCATTTACTATACCTGTGCTTATTGCCTGTGAGTAAAAGCTCATTCCCCAACTTGTTCTGAAATCTTAGTGGCAAAAATATACAGCAACTACTAATGTGTTAGTGCCACATCTTTACATAGATAAGTTTATCTACAAGGGGCTAGGTAACTTTGCCATTCATTTTAAGTGGAAAAACGCGGTGTGTTTTTCTTCCCTAGGGGAGGAAAGAGTATGAGTTTCTAAAAGTGAAACAGCAACGTGTGTGATTTACGCTTCATCCCAAAGAGTTTGTTTGGGGTTTTCTGATAGCTTTGCTCACAGCTTCCTTGCAAACATGAACAAAATGGATTTGTACAGTTCTGAATTTGATTTAAGGTGTCAAATTTTATCTCAAATCAAGCAAAGTCAAACTGAATTTATTTTTGTGTGAACTACCCAGGGGCTGTGTTAAATGACGTCTGCAAAACTTTGGCATTAGGGAGAGTGGCAGTTCTTTTTTCTTACGCACACCAGAGGTGCCTGGACAGTGCAACCAAAAGCAGAATCTGGTGTACCACACTACAGATGTGGGGAATGAAGCAAATTTACCTTCTGTGCCTCGATGATTTCTTTTCCCAAGCTAATGGCATAGCAAATCTAGAAAAAAAAGAAACATACATAAAGTTCAATTTTGTTTTAGGCTTTTTGTTCCTTAATTGGGACTAAAACACAGAAGTGTTAATGCAAACTTAGTCTTAAATACGGCCTAAAAGCAGAGGTGGAATACCAATTCACCATGCCACCTACATAAAAATAAAACTATCTTACGTTCTGCTTCAAAGCTCACTTGGGCTGGTAAGTCTTTGTACTCAACTCAGTTTTATTCACCAAACTTTTATTTCCACACCTGGGGGTTCTTTGCCAGTGCATGTAAGAAAAAGTGTTACTGTTTTTTAAGACAAAAAGTGCATTCCTTATTCCTAATAGTCTGGTTTTAACATACGCAGCAAGCAGGCAGTGGCATTAACACAGTATGGCCGTCTCATCTTTGAAAGCTTTACAGATGTGCCTATCTCAACAGAGCTGACGTTCGCTTTTGTTAGTGCTGCTGCTAGACGCACACACTGCCTCCTCTTTCTTAGTATTGGCATTAGTGGTCACATCCCTTCCTCCTTGTTGTACGTGCTGCTGCATTATCTGTAAATTTGATCCTTTTTAGACATAAACCATCAAAGGCTTGCATGTTAAGGCATGTTCTCTTAGCAAGAAATTGAGCTGCTCTTGCTTCTGTAGCACTGCTTCCTAGATGCATAAGCTGAGAAGCCCAAGACCTGTTTTCTAAATAAAGTATTTGATTAAATGTTATGCAAACCTTTTCCCCTTCTGTGTTGCTCTCAAAAATATATGCGCTCATGGATTCTTCTCCCAGAGTCTCACTGAGATGGACCACAAAGCCAATCAGTCGCCTGTTATCCTGATGAGCAGCAAACTGTGTCACAGTGGCAAGTTCAAACTGGAAAAGTATAATAATTTATTTTTTTTTTAGCAAGCATACACTTAGCTTGGTCAAGAGCTCAAGCTCATGTGACTGAGCATTCAAGGCTGTGGTCAAAGACCAGCTTCAAAACAAAAGTTACTTACACTTGTTCGTGTAACTTGGGTTTGAGGATCTATTAACCTGCAATTATGTGTAGAGGTGGGGGGGGAAAGAAAGTAAATTATGTTAGAGTGGTTCTTAGTAATTTCAAGGTGCTTTGTAATAGTAAGGCAATCACTATAGCAGTTTTACAGATGAGGAAATACAGGCACAGAATCAAATGCTTTATCTGTGATTTCAAGTCGGTCGATGGCGAGGTTCAACTCTAGACCCCAACTCTCAGCTGCCTGACGCGTACAGGTTGTAGTATCTTTCCGAATCACAAATTTGGTAAGCATCCTGAGTGTATGGGCTAATACACAAATACGCATACGGACATAAACGCACTCCAGCTAAAGTGAATGTCTTGTATCAACGTACTCTACAGTGACAATACTGACAGCGATGGCTCTCTTGCTGTTACTATGTGTAAGGAAAGAGAATCTTCCAATGCATTTTTTTGCATCTTTTTCTGTATCTTTGCAGGGCCTTATAGTCCCACTGCATCCCCTAAATTTTGGTAGATGTTCTTACAACTTAGTCAGGAGGATGACTTCTAGATACTACAGAGTAAGAGATGAGACATTTTTACTAAGTAAAGTGAATCTTGGGATCTTGCTCTCTCAAAGGGTGTGTTTCTTGGAAAAACAAAACCAAAAATACTTCACTAATCACAAGCTGTGTGAAGAGAACAGAATGTTGACAAGTTGAAAGTTTTACAGTACCTCAAGTTCTTGCTGGTGACCATGAGATGGGATTCAGTCATACGGAATATGTTGTGAATGGCACGAGCAGCTAACACTTGTCTCATAGCTTCATAAATCACCTCACTTGTGTCATCTGACTGAACAGCCATAGATCCTAAAAACCGAACTACGAACATCTGCTGCAAGAGTGAATCTGGAAGATAAAAGGCATGACTTCCTTCACTGCACCACTTCAATTTTCCAGGAGCTGAAGTTATCAATGAAACTACTTCTTTCACTTTGGCAATTCAACACTAAACCTGTGGGCGGTGACTGCGGGGATGGTGACTTCCTGCTATGAGCCAGTCAGTGCTCTGACCCAGTTTTAAACAGTGCTTGAACTAGCAGCAAGTAGGGGGAAAAAAAAAAAAAAAACAAATCACAGTTGCTTGGAAGCTTTAAAAGTGTAACAGGTTTATTTGATTGGCTAGTAAAATTCATTTGCCTATCTTGTTATCAGGTGCTCATAAACTGTGCACATAAACTGTGCTAAATTTATGATTGCGTGCCAGCCCTGGCTTCCATCAAATTAACTCTTTAAACCTTGTACATTCCTCGCTTTCTTCTGTGTCCTTCTGACCTTGCACACAGCTGGTTCCAATGTGGTTTTCATTAAATCCTTCCCTGCTCATTGACTATCACCGTAAGACTCCTGTTTACAACTAAGTAGCCATTATGCAACAAAGCCATCATTTGATCAGGCTCCCTCTATGGCTGGCGGTGAGCAAGGGAAAGCGGGACGAGTCGCACCGAGTGTGACTGTTCAAAGGCCACAACAGCCATGCCTACGTTGCGCAAGACACCACCGCGATTGTTAAGCATCAGCTTGAGCTGAGCTACGCAGATCCACCTGCGCAGTTTGAGATGCAGGGCTGTCACCTGGGCACTGTGCTCTCGTCTGCATGCTGCAGGGGAGCAGGGCGCTGCTTGTCACAGCTGCTCTGCTGTCGGGCAGCTTGCAACCACCCCACCTCGCAATGGGACAGCGCACGCAAGCCAGCAGGTTCAAAGCAGCAGGTTCTGCTTTGGTTCTGTGAGTAGTTTTCTGACAGGGGCTGTGGGCTCCAGACAGCGGCTGTAATGGGTACAGAGGAAGAGGAGAGCAGCCAAGGTCTGAGCCCTGCGTGTGCTGGCAGAGGAAGGCCAGAACTGCTGACTTTTACTGGCATGTCACTGGGGGGAGGGAACGGGGGCAGCAGTAAGAAACTCTCCCTTTGCTGAAAGAGACACACTGCTGCTGCTAGCTACATTGCTGGGCCTCTGTGAGATTCAGATTGTGGATTTCAGAGTGCACGTGGATAAGAAATGGCTACTAAGCGGCCTCAACTTGAGCAGAATTATAATACAGTCCTATCAAACCCTTTCTAAAGACGTCAACAGCTACTTAAAGAAAAAAAAAAAAAGGAAAAAGACAGACAAAAACCAAGCAAACCAAATCTTTTTGCCTTTAAACATCTGAAATAAAACCTAATCTGGAATACAGTTTGGACTGTCAAGGAAAAAGGTGTTTATTTTCACAGGTAGTGATATTTAAAAGACTGGCTTCTGAAAGGTAACTACCTTCAGCCGTACTATGGATCTGTTACCGCTGCTCCATGGTGTCACGTGCTTTCATTAAGAGACACTGGATAGCTGACAGCTGAATTGGGCCTAAAATCATAACTAATTTTATCTGGAAAAATGAAGCACTGACCTTCCTCCTCATCTTTGCTGCTGTCTTCAGATTCCCCAAATGGGTTGGCACGCCTATGAAATAAGAATAAAAACTCTACTTACAGATTCTGGTCACCACACACACATGCTGCAATACCTAATTTTCTCCCCTGAAACCACTCTGTTAAAGTGATCCATCACTCTCTCTGGTCATACCTGCCACCTCTGTTCTGGTCCATGAATTCTGTGGCAGGCAGTACAATATCAAATTGAATCGGTGTTCCAGGAGCAATGAGTTGTGTGGAGTCTTGAATGCCAGCTGATTCACTGGGAATTATTTTATCATTTTCCATATTCTTTACATTCTGGCTAAAGTGAAAATGGAAAAAAAAGTGTTTTAATCAGTCAATGACACCCTATCTTTGCTCTGGAAGGGAGATGAGCTTATTAAAAAATCCAGAGTGGGATTGAACCAGTATACATAAACATAAATACCGAGTTTTTTCGTATTTGCCTGTTACTGAGGACTCTAATAAAATCTCCATTTTATGTTTTTGTACCTAAAATTATTTAGGAAAAATAAATGCTGGTACATTAAACCTGAACGCAGAGCAATTCTCAGTACGGGCAGACTTTCAGCAATAAGTTGCTGTTTGCCTCTCTGCCCTCCAGTCACCATTTACAGCCACATTACCAGTTCAAACAGCAGAGACCTGGACTTGTGTCTACAGGTGTCAATGGCAATCCTGACACCTTTTTAAGATCTTACTTGGCCACAGGCTTGTTACAATGCGATAGCAGAGAAGAAGTGTTGCACACTGGGTCAGATTTCTTCCTGCACCTTTTCTCAAAGTGAATGAAACAGTTTCCCACAGCTACAGAAGTCATAACTATACACATCACTACTAGCAGCATCCTATTTCTAGAAAGTTTTCTGGTTGCATACAGATGTAAAAGTGATTAGGCAGATTAGTTGTCAGTGAAATAGCTACTTCCTTTGCCCAGTGAAATAGATGGCAATACTCTTCTATTTATAAATCTGTAGTCGAAGTGAAACAGCTGTACTGTGAATAAAATTAGAAAGAAATTGTCTGGCATTCCCCATGGCTATAGGGAATCTTTGGAATCTGTGAGCAATCATAATAAAGGGAATCATAAATCGTAGTAAAGGCACTGGCCTGAGAGGCAGAAGATCTGGAAAAGGATTGAATTTCTAGAAGTAAATATCTGAGAAAGAATTTATAATTTTCTGACAAAACTTGCAGAGAAGTCTCTTCATGTTGAAGGCAGTGTGACACAAACTTGCCCTATTTTATTTATCACACTGCTTCTGAAAGCAGGATTTCAGTCCAGCACTGGACTTCAAAGCCAACTCTGATGATGAAGTCTGAAGAATTCCCACTGAGCAAGATGCTAGGATCATGTGGACACAAAGAAACGATACATAAAATATGTATTTTGAATATAAGCATATCCTAGAGCATTATTAACAATTTTTGAAGGAGGAGAGCTGTATTGATTGACCTGAAATGAGCACGAGAACAACAGTAGTTATTCTGACAGCTGTGTAAGGCATATTCCTATGACAGACTGACAGGAACTGCTTGAGGTAATATGCAAGAATATACTTACTTCAGCGTATACTGGGGACCCTGCTGTACTACCCACATTACAAATCATTCCCTTATGGCAAAGCACTACAAGTAAAGCATTGTGTTTGCTTCTGAAGAAACAGCAAAATCCCAGTGGCAACTGCAAGGAGCTTCAAAGCTGTGACGTGGAACAATAAGCATTACCCTCAATACTTAACATCTCTTACGGCTTTCAGTCGGAAACATCAGAAGTAGAGGAATTTGCCAGAACACACAGGCTTGTAAAGCCGGGGCCTAGACAGGGCTGTTTCCTGGGTGACTGCTGCTCTGTAAAAAAACCATGACTGAGCACACAGCCTCTAGTCCGTGCAAGCGAGAATGTTACCTGGCGTGGTGAACTTCGTGTTTTTTCCCAAAGCTGGTAATGGGCGTCACTGCTTGTAGGGCTGTCTGATTTAACTTGATTGCAGCTGCCTATGAAAACAAGACAGAACAGCTCTTTTATACACATATTTTACATTGCCATGTAAAGAACAATGGGAAAGCAAGTTGGAAGGAATGGACTGAAAGATGGAAACAAACTCCCACCTCTGGATTGTCAGTGAGATAGATCTGTCTGGAGATGTTGTTGATGGCACAAATCCACTGGAAGGGAAACATGAAATTAAACTCTTCAAGCTCACTTGTATACAAGAATAACAACATTAAGAAAATATTTTTACCTCCTCATATTCTTTCTTGCTTTCTGCTTGAAGGGTTATACCCCTAAAACATAAACATAGCGTATCAGTGCTAGCAGTGGACACCAGGACTGTTTGACTCCAGGTCCTATGATAACATCACCAAGCTTTGTATCTATTATCCATCAAAGAAACAAAAATCACGAATAAGCTGCAGCTAAAGGATACGGCATGTGCTGTTCAGGCAGTTGTGGGGGAGGATGGGAAGGAACAGGCTTTTAATTTGGAAACACCCTTCTGGAAATCCAGAAAGGCTTACTATTACAGCAAGCATGTTTTACATGAAACAGCATCTGAAAGGGTAGGTGTGACTGGCTGTCCTCAAATAAAACCTGTCTCATACGCTTTGCCTGTAGGAGTAGTGATCTGAAAGCAGTATCTTCTGTCTTCACAGTCTACAGCCATAACAGAGCAGTTGTCCAGGTCCTGAATCAATCCTCCAGCTACTGCTCCCCTTGGCTGACACATCAAGTTGCCACCTTGAGTGAAGAAATACAGTCTTTCCCAGGTTGTTGTCACCAGACCTGTTTTACTGAAAAGAAGATGCAGTGATAAAGGCTCATTTAGAAATGACTCCAAACATATACGAAACTGCAAACATACCCTGATGCTAATCTGAACTTTATGTTGAACCCCACAATTTTTTTTATGAGTCTCTGTTAAGAAGTAAAAGCAGCACCTGTTCCTAGCAGAGACTAATCCTTAATGAAAGCTGAAGAATTAAACTAATTCCAAACATCCCAAGTTAAAAACATTCTCTGCAGTATCTCCTAGTTAAGGAATAAAAGAATTATTGAGATTGAGTAACTGTCATGAAATGCTATTAAGCTGGATTAAAAAAAAAAGTATTTTCAAGCTGAAGAACAGCATGAGCAAATTCAGCAGAAAGAATCATCATTAAAAAAAGTCTTCTGCAAGTAGTATCTCAGAGTCCATCTTCTCCGTAGCTATGGAGTCCTATTATATTGCAATCCAGCTCTTAGAATGCTACGAGAAATTAATAAATGTCAACTCACAAAAAAAAATTACTACTCAAATAGAAATAAACTGATATTTAATCAATTACATAAACAGGGTTATTATATGCCACCAATATACATAGCTCCTGCGGAAGGTGAAGAAAGATTTTATTCGGAGAATCTGCAGAGGTATGGTACACATTCGAAGTTACGCACTCGCATTGTCCATAAAGCTTTTATTTATGTAAAGGAGGTCATTTATGAAAACATGTATTAAATCTAAAATATAGCTGTTTATTTTTGTAAGAACTATGTTTTCATTAACCCTAAGAACTGGGAACAATCTGAACCCAGCCCCATCAGCTTCTAATTTTTAGCTACCTGAATGCAGGAAATCATCCCTGTAGGTGAATTCAACCAGAAGTAAACTTCTGTTCTCAGAAAAACAGTCTCAAATGCCTCTAATTTGGTTTAAACTGCTAAAACACATTTCCAAAGATGACAAGAGATACTTAGGAGCTGAAGATTACAGCTACCACAGTGATTCAGGAGCCTCAAACATCATTACCTGAGGAGTCTTATGACCAAAAACAAACAAACAAAAAAAGGTAGCAACTAGTAAGCAACTAAACAAAGCAGTGGGCAGCAACAGTCGTCTTACTTTCTAAGATTAAGGTAGCCAGCCTTCTGGATGAGATTTCTATTGATAGCAGGTGAAGTTACATCAGAATCTGGGGTGTAAACAGATTCATTAACTGCAATTAAGTCCTGCTGGGATACCCTCATTTTTTCAGCTTCAGCATCCAACTCTCCCTGTATGCTGGAAAAAAAAAAAAACAAACACCACAACAAACCCAAAGCTATCATTAGTCAACTTATACTAGGATTTAGCTAACATCTGTAACACAAAGTGGACAAAAAAATACCCATTGAGATTATATTGGAGAGTAGTGCAAGATAAAGCTTATTTTTAGACTAGACTTTGTAGGAAATGTAATGTAAGACTACATGTCCAAGGCTTTCTCTAAGGACTAGATAAATCAGTACAGTTAGGAAAGAATGAAGAGGCATACAATGGGGAACTGCTCCCAGAAAATGTCATCTGAGCCTAAAGAGACAAGATGCATATGCTCTGAAGGTATTAACAACGGTTTAAGGAAAATATGGCTATCTTTGGCAGGCTGGCAGCAAAAGCACAGCCAGGATTTCCCCTTGGTCTTTATTTTGAAAGCCCAGCTTGAAGATGTTACTCTCAATATGCCTCATACAGTAGCTATGCTTTCTTTTTTTGCAATTTGTCCTAAACGTAGTTATCTTCTTTCCTCAAGCAGTATAGAGAGATAACAATCAGAATTATGAGATTGTTCTGTAAACCTGAAATGAGCACACATGAGGAACACTTAAGTTCATAGATGCTCGTATGAATTTACACTGCTGAACATATACAGATGTTGCTTTAGTATAGCAGCACAGTTCAAAGTAGGCTTCACTGTCGTATCTCTTGGCTGTCACAGAACTTTGTCTTATTTGGGAAGACTGATTGACAGATACGGTAGATTGGAGGGCTGCTGTTCAGAGGGACCTTGACATGCTGCAGAAATGGGCAGACAGGAACATCGTGAAGTTCAGCAAAGATAAAGTCCTGCCTGGGATGGAATGCAGCCCCATGCAACTGTAAAGGATGAGAGGCATCTGGAGAGAAAGCAACTTTCAGCAAAGGACCTGGGGATCCTAGAAGACAAGCTGAACATGAGCCAGCATGTCAAAGGAAGTAATTATTCCCGTCTGTTCAGCACTTGTGAGAGTCCAACAGGACTTCTGTGTCTAGTTTTGGTGCCCCAGCACATGAGAGACAGAAACAAAGTCAAGTGAAGAGCCACCAAGATGGCTAGGGGGCCAGAACATGTGACATGAGAAGACGCTGCAATTACTGTCTTTCAGCCTCATGAAATGAAGGCTAAGGTGAGCATCTTACTGCTAGCTTGACTGCCTGATGGGAGGGTATACAGCAGATGGAGCTAGACCCTTCTTGGAGGTGCACAGCGATAGGGTGAGAGACAATGGACACAAGCTGTAACCAGATACTGCGTGTGCAGTGTGTGAGAGACAGACAGAGATGCTCAAAATTTGACTGGACACAGTGCTGAGCACTCTGTTGTAACTGACCCTGCTCTCAGCAGGAGAGTGGACTAGATGACCTCTTGAGGTCCATACTGCACAGCAGCTGTTCTTCGACTTTCAGAGAAACAATACTAGCAAATATTTGATTTCTTTATTAACTTTTCCAAACTTGAGGAGTTATCAACCGTATCCAGGCTACTAGGAAAACTTATGGGGTGGGAACATAAGAATACTTGTCATTGCACACCTTAGAAAGTCACTAATACCTGCATCTATACAATAAGCAACTTTCTCCCTACTTCCTGCCCAAGTGATTAAACCTTTCGGAGAACATAAGCACATAACACAGGCTGTACACAGCAGGACCAGAGATCCATATAGTCCACTATTCTGTCTCTGACAGTGGCAAAAAGCCTGTGGAAAAGTACAAGGCAAGTACATATGATTCTTCTCCTGTCCTCCTCCCAAGTCTTTTGTGGAAGTTGGTGATATCCCATAACCGTTGATGTAGTCTAGAGACACCGTGCTGCATTTAAGTCAGCACTAAGCAGTATCTGACCGGCCAGATGAAGAGTCACTCTTGCATCATGGTGTTAGTCCGTTTCATGTTAGCTTATTTCCAGCTTTTCCGCATCTTTAGAAAGCTCAGACTTCCTAAGCTCCCACATCACCTCCGAAATGACACCAGCTGTGTGCATCTTACCACCTAGCCAAGTCATATGAGAGGCTGAGTAATATCATCAGATCTGAATTAAATTAGACCACATTTTGCAAACTAGTGCCTTTCAACGTTATCATTAAAAGTCAGAGTAAGAATTATTTAAATTCAATTTTGAAATAAAATGGAACAGTGCTGTCAGGTTTTACATAAGCACTACTTCAATGAATCTTTTGATCAGTCATTTTTGTTGCACCACAAATTGCTTCCGACAAAACTGCCCTGGCATTTTCATGGTCCCCAAGACTGGATTCCTTTTCCTAAAGCGTGTTTCTTTTATCTCCAAGGTAGAAAGGAGAGAAAAGCTGACAATTCTGAAGTTATATGCATTTGTGGCAATTATACCAATTGGTTACTGAGACTATTTTAATGACCTGTCCTCTCTTAGGTGCTTTTACACTGTTAGCAATATTCACTGTATAAATGAAAATACTTTTAAATACGAAGACTCAGTTTCACAATGAGCTTAAACAGATGCAAGACTACATCACTGCTGAAATTCTGTAACTGCACAATGGGTCTCATTGGCTTGTTATTCCAAGAAAACAAATCTGACAAATACAAAGCTTTTAGCTTGATTAGCAAGCAGATCTGACTCACTGAGGCCTTGTGATCTCCAGCGCTAAAGAAGGAAAGGAGTGGGCAGCACAGTTTTCAGGGGCTGTGTAATCTTAAGTCATGAAACCATGTCCTGTGTCAGTAATTTCTAAGCTGCACAGTGTCATTCAGCATTTTGCAAGCTTCTCTTTCGGTTTTTCCAAAGACGTCACACTCCTGCACTAGTTACATTTGAGTTGTACTTTCAGCCTTTGCTGTGTGACAGACTTAAAGCACAAAAAACAGACTCAGCAAACCAACTGAGCAGGTTATTTTTACTTCCATTTACTACTGTGTACTACCCAGAATTCAAATCCATCAGACTTTGGAAAACAAGGGTTTATTCTATGGTCAGGGTCCAATGGCAGGATCCTCACTGTGCCTGTAAGACACAAGCAAGGTGCTCTAGCCTTAATAAATAAAGGCCACTATTGCAAGGGAGTTTAAAATCTGTCCTCCAGTCTGTACAAATGCTATGTAGACTGTGGAGGGATTTGTTTCAGGAGTATGAAAAGATACATAGATAAGCATAGAGGTACAGGAAGGAAAGAATCTACTATACAGGGAGATTACTTGCAACACTGTTCTCAAATTAACAAGTATGCGTTATTTAAAATGCCACCACAGTCAGAATAAGCAATGATTTGGATACAATCCCATATGAAAGGTATGAAGCAATAAAGGACTCAGTTTAGTGTTCCAGCCAATTTAAAATAAATTATTAATGTTCTCTCCAACATGATTACATTTTAAATGTAAAGTTTACATTTACAGGGACTTAATTATAAAAGAAAATGTCAATTTTCACTACAAGCAGGGGAGGAGAGGGAGAAGAAAAAAATAATTACAAAATTAGGAGTACAAAAGTGAGGCAGTTTATTGAAATAAATTAGCCAAAGCAGGTTGAACTCAGTGGACCGATACAGCCTATACGGGATGCAATGAATACATTCTCTGGTGTGAGGAGTTTTGGTTGCCTCGTGCAGCTAGAACATCAAACACTATAGGCCCTAAATCCTTATTTGGGAGGTTAATGGATTATTGTTACAGTATTATTACAGAAGACCCAGCAAGTGTAAATACCTCTAATTCAGAATGCACTTTAGCTCTATTATATTAATTCTGTTAACCCATTTCAAGGGCAGATTCCATGCTTTGTGTCCATGAAGAGACACAGAGATGTAAGAAAGCATGTGAACCCTTTGCAGTATATAGTTCCTGGTTATACTGTAAAAATACACTCTGCTGCAGTATATAGTTCCTGGCTATACTGTAAAAATACACTGCAGTGCACTGACAGCATTTTCCTTTACATGTACAAACATACCTCCTTTCCACCTGCTGCTTTAACAAAATATGCCCAACAATGCAATGCAAGCATGGAAGGACTCTCATGAGAAAGAAACAGAGGCACTCTCTGTTATGTGCTGAAGGTTACAGCGCTGAAGTATTGTGTTACCTTTGAACCATATCTGAAACAGATGACAAAAAGCCGTCCATTCTTTTGGAAAACATCTCTGCTCCTTTCTTAAAAAAGTTGATCTGAAAAATAGTAATTTAAAAAAAAAAATATGGACACTGGAAGTTATCTTGGCTTTGGCAGACAAATAACAGATTGTGGGGACTGTGTTAACAGCGATCCCATAACGACTGATACTTTTGGCTGTCGATCAAACACACGGTCAAAACAGCTGCATTGCCTTTCCTTGTATTTCTCACTTTTGCAACTTTCCACTCTTTCACACACCCTTTTACACACACATAAGCTATTGGCTGCTGACAGGTATGTTTCCAATGAACTTGCTAAATGACTGAAATAAGGGAACAGGTAGCCTTCTCCCATACTAGCACCAAGCAGAATTGGGTCCAGTGGTGTTATGAGCCACTGCGTGCAATGCCACCATATCAGAAGGAATAGGGCACAAATCATCCACTAGATTTAGTAGTCCAACCTGGACTACCAACTCCAACCTGGAAATTTTATACTGCTATAGCAAAGTCAGTCAGGAAAGTGATGATGTGTAGCTGTGCTAGCAGAAACCTCCAGGGCAACCAGTTATATCAACTACAGATTTGCCATGGATTTTGTTCTACTGAAGGAGCTGAAAGAAGCTACTAAGGCCAAAGTGCACATTTTGTGACAGAAGATGAATTCACTTAGCTGGTATGGCTGAGCAGGCACACAACTGCAGCAAAGCACTCAGTGGAGACTTGACCTCAGACTATCTTGCTGTGGGGCACACAGTCATTGTTAGGACCTACTGGCAACTGTGTGAAACATGGACACAGCTAGCACATGTGCACAATTAATAAGCTTTTAAAAAAAAAAAAATATCAGTGAAATACTCTGGAAAGAGATGTAAAAGCAAATTCTTGGCTGTTAAGCAATTTATTAGCTATTTCATCCAATTGTACTTGTGATTCCACTCCTTTTCCCTAACCTTGGGACGTGTAATTCCTCTTACTTTTAACTCAGATTTCTGCAACCATGTTACTGACCAGAGACTCCCTTTACAGACAAAAGAGAGAAAGCATGCCCTCTTAAAGAATGATTCACCTATTCTATTTCAAAAGCCTGCTTCAGGAGGGAAGAGCTCTAAATTCCACTGACGATAGACTGACACACCTAGCTTAGATGTTGATGTCAGCTTTCAGTCAAATAAACCCTGCACCAGCCACTGCTTCTTCAAAAAATTCCTTAGGGCCTGCTCATTCACTGGAAATGTAAAATGAGACACATTTTGAGTAATTAATAAAGAAAACATATACTTGGGCTGAAGGGCAGTTCACGGTATTTAAGCATCAATATCAACTGGCTTCTGGCTACTCAGTCATTACCATGACAACCTAACACTTTCCTGTATAAAGCACTGAGATATGGCAGTTTTGCCGGATAAAATACAGGGAAAGAAAGTTCTGCTTGGCTTCCAGTAAAGGAAACCAATGCAGTTCTTTCATACAGCAGAGAAGCAGCGTGAACTCCCACGCTGGGGAAAGTGACTGATTTCTCATTTATTACCTATTTTTATGGGGCAGATGATCTGCAAGACACAGGCCAATGGAGATGATGATCCACACTACAATCTCAGAGCACTGCATCCATTTTTTCCTGTTTTCACAGCCCAGTTCTCATTTTCCCAACACTTTCTTTCATCATGTCAAAGCACAACAGACCCTTAAAATGGGTGGTAATGAGAATCAAGTGCTATGGAAATACTAGTTTGTTGATCCTCTTGACATCCTGGGGAGTCAGGTTATCAGTATTACTACCACCTTTTACAGACTTGAGAAATGCTCTGTCAAATTGCTGGCAGAATAAAGATTAGAAGGAGAATTTTCCAGCCTTATGCTCAATCCGCTCTACTGTTCTGTCCTTCCAGTTCTCCAGTGCATGCTCTGTTCCGTATCGTGTACACGCCTCATCAGTATGCTGAACATTATGTGCCAGGAAGGGAACTGCTACATAGGAGAGTTTGTGCAGGCAGAGTAAACAGTGGAAGTAAACGCTGCTGCACGGGTAGCTTAGCCATGAAAAAAATTAACCCCAGCCTGATTTGCATATAAGTGTATTGGATTTTTTTTTATATTGGTGTCTTTCCTGAATATCTAAACATTCAACTATCTGCCACAAGCAAAATCAGTTGTTAGAATCTAGGCAAGCTGAATAAAAGTTTTTCCCCGTTATTGTCAGTTCTAAAAAAAAAAAATCCAGAGCTGCAATGTTTTACTTTTCCCAGGGACATGTCTAAGTGATATAGATGCTTTACTGTCCATACCTGTCCTCGTGTATATCCTAGCATAGGTTCCATCATTGCCACTCTCTTCCTGTACTGCAGAGCATTCAGGGCACAGTAATATTGCAGAGATGAAAGATGCTGCTTTCTTCTTGCATTTGCCACTTCTTTTGCCACTTCTGCCTTAAGCTAAATAAAAATTGATAAAGAGGTTGACAAAATGTTACTGTGCATATGGATATATTTACTGATTATTTTCAAGTTATCTTTAAACAATTCTCCTTACAGAACTTCTCCACATTAAAATGAAGGATGAGAAACTAAGAAAGCAAATCCAAAACCCAAAGCAAGTACTTCCAAGCCCTTCTCTGGCAAGATACTTAAGCATTTGGGGAGCCCCTGTGACAATAAACTATGTAACTACCACAACTAAAATTCTGCAGCTGATCTCAGTGCAAGAAATTTATTTGCAGCTGAGATCACAACACAAGCCTGCAAGAGCGGAGTTTCAGAGATTAATAATTCACAATATGCTATATCACATCCTGTTCTGTAATGCACTTCCTTTAAACACCATCCTGTAGAACTGATGCACTCTCAGGATAGGGCCAATCACACACTTCTAGGTATACAGGGATATATTTTGGGATAGTGGTCCAGTGGGCAAAGAAGAAGAAATGTAAAACAATCCCAACAACAGTTATGTGTGCTGTAAGTGGAACGACAAACCATACAGAGATATTTAGCAGGAAGGTAGATGCGAAAAAACTGAATGCTTTATAAACAGCAGACACAAGGCTTCATGACAGTTCACAATGAATTGTACCCAGTTATACAGCATCATCACATCAGCTGTACAACAGTAGGCCTACACAAATCTATTTATAACCATTTGGATTGACTCTGTCTGAAGAGCTCCCCTGGATCTGAAGGGCTCTCGTTCAGCACAATACTTGATCACTTGCCTAACTTGGAGAAAACAGGTATAACTTTGCTGAATTGATGTTTGAAAGCTTTGTGCCTGCTTGGAAATGAAATCCCAAGTACTCTTGAGCTACTGTGAATTTAAACTGATGGAACTCTCCAAAGTTCGTAAGCGAACAATGATGCAGACAGAACAGCTGAGAAAAACTTTTCCTTTTCCCTTTCATGTTCGTTACCTTTTCATTTTCTTTCCTTTTCGGTAACCTGCTATACTTTGCCATGGACACGTCATGTTCTGTAGACAAGGAATATTATTTTTTTTAGAAATGTGATGTGTGTGTGCGGAGATAAAAAATGTCTTGTGTGATATAACAGGTGCACACCATTAGAAACAAACAAAACAGGGAAACATACCATTGCTAGCAAGGCCAAAAAGATCCTTCAACGTGCTTACTTCTGGAAAACAGAAATCAAATATTCAAAGTAAAACCAGCTGTAAACACTTTGTTCAACTGAGACCATTTATGGCACATTTAATGACTAAGTCACTCCAATCCTTTCAAAGCAGAGATGCGTAAGTTGTGCCTGTCTTGAAAATGATAAACCAGATCAGCTGCTAGAGAAATGAATAGGCAGACAGCAAATAAAGAGTTGAGCGAGTTTACTTGATTGAGCAAGTTATCGGTACGAAAAAGATTCCTTATCTGCCAGTGTAATTTACCCACAGAAGCACCGTTTCAGTATGCTTGTTATGACAAAAGGCCCACCACTATCATAAAAGATTGGCAGTTCTGAACAACTTTCTGACAATGCTTATGTGATACCAAGAAATCTTAAGTCCCAGAGACATATGAACTAAGCCCCCTTCCTGTACATGAATCTTCATCAACGTGGAACATTTTTTGCTAAGTTTCTCTGTGAAAAGAAATATGTACCTAACACATCTGACTGCTGGCTATGATGCTTACATAACAAACACTGGCCATGAGTTTTCCATGCAGACAGAAGGAAGAGAAATAGGCAATTCAACTTTCACAAGTGTTGGCCACAAGCTACTCTCAGTGTCCATACCAATGTATGCTGCAACTGGCAAAACGCTTCTGAAAAAGCTACAAAGCACATTCACAAGAACAGACATTACGCAACTGTGAAAAGAGTAAGGGGAAATTGTACGATGTCATTGTGGTTTCTGATTATTTGTAACAACCTACACATTCATCAGCTTCATGCCACCCTTTTCTCCCCAGAACACTTCCTCATGACTCTAATGCAGGACAGAAATTCTTCCCAGGTGTGACTAACTTGTACCTAGAGGTTTCTACAGTATTCAATACTGTAACAAGATCAAAAGTAAAAACAAGAACACAGTTAATCTTCCTTGTTTAATCCCATGATGAAATTTCAACATGGCCAGGCCTCTACTAAAAATGCTGTTCTACAGACTGTGTCAGAGAAGAATGGAGATTGGGATGGATGGATAGATGCAACAAAAAAGAGTCTGACATCCAGGGAAGCTGAAGAAACTTTCATTTTTTGTCACAAAGCAGCTGAGGCTTTGATTGCAGGCTTCACTTGCATTTTCTTTTTATGTCTTCTTTTATGAACTTGGGGGGCAGAATCCGTAAAGACAGAAGCGCAATCACTGTATCAGTGAAACCACATTAAAGAGGTGGGAAAGTGTTTATAGAACCAAAATCTTACCATCCAAATACTGCTTTATATTTGACATTCTATTATAAACAAGATATCCATTGATGTCTTCACAATTTCAAATGAGAATCTATGATATAAGAAACCTTAAACTAGTCACTGTTTTGCTGTAGTTGGTTTGTCTCCCATCAAAATGATGTCTTTAAAAAGTACATAAACAGGACTGAGCTTAGTGAGTTGACAAGTGGGCTTTTAAAAAGAAAAAAAAAAAATGCTGCAGTAAAAAAATCTTGTTTCTGTTGCATGAGTAGGTTAAGAGTGTCCTTGACCTTGAATATGAACTTCTTGCTTTTGAAATTACACCAAATGCTGGCATTATTGCTCTGCTGTTTAAGTAATGAATTTCCAAGTTTGTGCAATCAGGTTACTTGGAACTACCCTTGGATGGCAAGGATTTAAAGTGGACTGAGTCGTTAAAAGGGAGGGAATATACTATGAAGTTAAAAAAGCATTCTTGCTTCTGCTTTTCAAACAAACCCAAGCTTCTGAAGTCGGATAAATACTGTTTGCAAGCCAGATTCACTGCTACATTTTCCTTCTTTAGGCCATTATAACATCAATGATTTCAGTAAAATTACACTAGTGTAAAAGCAGAGTGACCCAACAAAGAACAGAGGTGTGTATTTTCAAACTTGCACCATCATATGGTGCATAAAACGTTACGTGGTGAACTTGAGCTATTTAAGTCTGAGTAAAAGCATACACCTGTCAATGAAATTCTGTAGCAGAAAAGAAAAAAAAACCACAAAAAATTTTTCTGTGAATCATCAAAGAACAAATTATTACATGACATTATGTCTCAATTTATTATGAAATAAGCAAGACAGAACACATGAGGAAAATAAAAACTTAAAATAAAATCTACCTGTGAGATCCTTTTCTCGAAATTGTATTATTGGTAGAACCATTGTATCTGCAAGCTGTTTTGCCAGTTCAGAATGAAGAATATTAAGCTGAAACAAGAGAATAGAGGAATGCCCTAAGACACGGTGTAAATAAAAAAAATAAAAATAACAGCACTCTACAGCTGTTGAAGAAGCACACCTGCCATTTGTGCCCAGCAGACAAAAAAAGGATATTATGTACTGCAATGTACTTCAGTGCTTAAAATACATTTTTCAAGGTATGTGAGACAGATGGGGATTTTCCTCCTAAATGCTTAATTCCTGCCTGGTGTTTTCTGAGGATCCAAGAACTTTTCAGTTCCCACATACCCTATCAGGGCAGTTCACTTGACCATTAATGCTAATGCTTAACCCAACAGGATTTAATCTGTAATTAGACTTTATTAACCAGTCCCTACGCCACACAGTTACAGTCCCACCACCATGACTAGAATCTCTTTCCATTCAACGAGGGTTACCCAGGACACAATCACAACAGGGGCCAAACACAATGAAAGGTCCCATTCAAATATTTTAACTTCAGAGCGTTTCCCATTCCTGTTTTTATAAGTGTTTCTCTAAAATTCAGCATATCGAGACATGTTTTAAAGCACTCGTGTGATGCTGTTTAGGATGAAGGCAAGGCTCTCATGTCAGCAGTGGCATGCTAAGAATATTAGATGGATTCAGGTAGGACAACTGGAGGGTAGGATGGCCCTGCAGAGGGACCTGGACAGGC